TAATGAATTACAGTCGTCCAGCCTGGAAGTAATAAATGCATGAACTAGTTTTTCAGCGTCACTCTGAGACAGGATATTTCTAATTTTAGAGATGTTGCACAAATGGAAGAAAGCAGTCTTACATATTTGTTTAATATGTGCATTGAAGGACATGTCCTGGTCAAAAATGAATCATATTTGCATTCAGTGTTATATTAATATAAGTGTTATTCTAGAAATTTCAACAATGATAAAAAAAAAGTTACCACAAATTGTTTTTAGTTTAGTAGAACTTGAAATGTTTGTCAGTTTGTAAACAGTCAGATGCATCAAGTTATTCTTAGATATGCATACTTGTAATAAATAAACTGTCCTAACATAGTTCTCATAAGTAAGTTTAGCTTTGTTTTTTAGTTTTTAACCATCATATTCTAACGTGACATAACCCGTGTAAACAAGTTTGAACATCCCATGATGTGCGTGTGGGAACGCCTCAGTGTTCCCTGGAATAACGGCTGCTGTTCCACAGAAAGCACAGCAGAGGTAATGTTATGGTCCACCGACACTCCCACACTGCCCTGCAGCTCTGAGTTCACCGCGCTCTGTGTGTCCTTCACCTGTGACATGTCTGCTTTATGGCTTCTGTCCTTCAGAGTAATTATGAGTGCTGATGAGGATCGTTTAGATTCCTCTGGTGTATAAACACATTTTTCATTCATGCTTTATTTTCTCCAACCTTTATGACAGCCCAGCTGCAGACAGCTGCGACACCAAGTGATCCTTTGATGTGATTAACAAACGTGCAGAGCAGAAACCGTGAAACTCGTTAACAGCCTGCGCCGTGGCAGCGCACGCTCCAGCTGTTTTTACACTGCTGTACTTTCTGTTTATTGCATTTCCTTTGATTACAGACCTTATCTCTGAGTATAATATTACTGCTTTAATGGCTGCAATCACAGCATTGTAAGATGGTGACAGATGTACCCTTAGGCCCCTCCTCCATTCAGAGATGGTCTTTCCCTTTTCATGTAAACGGCCTCCTTGACTCCGCCCTCAAACCAGCGTTCCTCCCTGTCCAGGATGTTACATCCTCATCATTGAAAGAGTGTCCACTGGCCTGTAGGTGTGAATAGACTGCAGAGTCCTGGCCTGACCAGGTGGCTCTGCTGTGTTGTGGCGTCCGCTCGGCCAGAGGTTGTTTGGTTTCCCCGATGTTTAAATCCTGCACTTAACAGCGTACACTATGTTACTCTGTTTGTGTCGGGGGACCCGATCCTTGGGGTGGACCCGTTTTTGGTGCAGCGTGTTTTGGGGTTTAAAGGTCACAGAGACCTGGTGTTTAGAAAAAATGCGTCTCAGCTGCTCTGATACTCCTGACACGTACGGGATCACTACAGGTTTTCTCTTGGGCAGCGGTCGTCCTTCTCTCCTGGCTCGGCTGGAGCTTTCTTTAGGAGTCTTCCCAGCTTTGACAAAAGTCCAGCTGGGATAACCACCTTTACTCAGGGCCTTCTTGATGTTCTTCTGCCTCCCTGGCTGCTGTGTCTGTGGGGATGGTGTTCGCTCTGTGTTGTAGCGTCCTGATGACGCCCAGTTTGTGCTCCAGTGGATGATGAGAGTCAAACCTTAGATACTGATCCGTGTGTGTAGGTTTACGGTACACGTCAGCTTTTAGATGTCCCCCATTACTGATGGAAATCTCACAGTCTAAGAAGGCTAACCTGCCACTGTTCATATCCTCCCTGGTGAATTTGATGTGTCGGTCCACCGAGTTAATGTGATCCATGAAATGTGGTACGTCCTGAGATTTGATTTTCGACCCAGGTGTCATCCACATACCTGAACCAATGGCTTGATGGTGTTCCAGGGTAGGATAGCAAAGCCCTCTTTTCCACTTCTTCCATGTACAAATTGGCCACGATGGGTGAAACTGGGGAGCCCATGGCACACCCATGTTTCTGCCTGTAGAACTGACCCTTGTATGTGAAAGAGGTGGAATGAAGACACAGTTCAAACACACTTGGTGGATGCTGAGAGTGATCCTCTTGCTGAGGTTGGGGTCATCCTGTAATCTCTTACGAACTACCTCCAACGCTTCTGTGACTGGGATGCAAGTGAATGGATTGCATTTATATAGCACTTTTCTAGGCACCCAAAGCGCTTTACAATTCCACTATTCATTCACACACTGGTGGAGGCAGCTACAGTTGTAGCCACAGCTGCCCTGGGGCAGACTGACAGAAGCGAGGCTGACATATTGCGCCATCGGCCCCTCTGGCCATCACCAGCAGGCGGTAGGTGAAGTGTCTTGCCCAAGGAAACAACAACCAGGACAGAGAGAGCTGGGGGAACGAACCGGCAACCTTCCGGTTACAGAAGAGAAATGTAACGTCGTACGAGACCATGGTTTCATCTGCCTCCATAATGACATCTCTCACCTTCTCATCAAAGAGTTCTGGATGTGGTGTTCAGAGCTGCTCACCAGCAGGTTGAGGATCGAAGCCAGAAACTTGGAGATGTTACAGGTGACCGAGTTGATCATGCAGACAATCGGTCTTAAAGGTGCTTCCTGGTTATGTATCTTCAGTAAACCATACAGACTTGGTGTAGACTCCCCTGGGTACAGCCTGTGCTATGAGGTCCGGTCAACAGCCTTGTCTCATTCTAACTGCTTCAGATGGTCTATCACCCGCTTCCTGTATATAATAGATATATGTTAGCTCCCTTGCAGTGTAAGGCTCGAGTAGTACCCCAGCTGTTATTACACGAGGAGCAGAAACGTGCTTTATTGAAAAATATTCGAGGTTCCATCTGCTGGGCCGCATTAGACCTTTGGCAGGTCAGATGTGGGCTCCTGGCCCCATGTTGGACACCCTGTTATTTGAGGAGCTCACTGTGATGTTGTCAGGTTTACCTTTACATGAGCTTCAGCTGCTTCTAGCTATGACGGGATTAGGACTGAGGCGTGTTACCTCATGGCTCCCTGCTGCACCGGGTTCTGGTTCTGAGATCACTCAGGGTTCTGCAGAAGACCGTCTGTCCTACGAGCAGGTGAGCGATCCTCGAGCCGAGAGAAGTTCAACGGCTGTTTTCGAGGTGCTGAGAGATCAAACTCAAAGTATCAGTCTGATAACAGGTGGAACAAATTTATTGTCTTATTACCATCGAGGTTGTTTTTATCTGGAATCGCCGATCAGCATCTGTGATTTACCTTTGTGCTAACCTTTGGAGCTTTTTACCTGCAGACTCGTGTTTATCAGAGAGATAAGAGCCGAGCTGCTCTGAGCTGTCAGACTGTCAGAGCAGACACTTTCTCAGAAGCTCCAACTCCAGGTGAGTTGTGTCTTTATGCTCGTCTCGTGCCTGAATGCGAGCGTTTGTCGGACGTGAGCTTGACGGACGTGAGCTTGACGGAGACTCAGAGACGGTCACCTGCTTTAAAAGATAATAATCATTTTCATCTGCAACAAATAAATCAAATAAATCATAAAGTTTCCTTCCATGTGTAGCTGGAAACATTTGTGAACTCTTTCCTATATTTCCCCAAAAAGCAGAAAAAGAGAAACAAAGTAAACAAACAGAAGGAAAATTGATTGATTGATTTAATGAGCAAAATGATCCGAAGTGTCTGATCTGTGAAACCTCGCTGCTGGTTTCTACTCTTGGACGGACTCTGGCTGTCTGACCTTTAATGGAAAAACCTGATGAAGGTCTGAGGCAGATTTATGGAGTCTGGTCTTTAGCCTGATGAGCATCAACGGCTCTGAAGTCATCAGACAGACGGATTGTTGTTCCCATGATTCATTTCTTCAAACATGTTGAGAAGATCCGACTCTGAAATTCTTCTTCTTGTATTATCGTGTTTTTGATGATATGAAGCTCTGAAAGGTGAAATCATTTCAGTGTGTTTCCTACAGACAGAATGGGAAGCAGGAAGTCGCTGTGCTGTGGGTTTTCAGCTCTGGAAGTGACGCTCGGCGTCATCTTCGTCGTTATGACCGGCGTGTGCATCTCGCTGGTTGTACTGTACGTTACCAGGGAAACGCACGCAGGTGAGAAACCGCTCGATAAAACCTCAGACGTTCATGCCGTCGTGTACTCGGAGCTTTGTCGACTTTGTTCCGACAGCGTGTTTGGAGGACGGACGTCCTTGGTTCTGGTCGTCCGTTTGTCTGTTAGCAGTCTAGCGTCCTCAGTTTTCAAGATAAAATGTAAAACTTTTGTGTGATGGTAGATACCAACAACAGCTCGAGCTGATTTCACTGTGAGTCAAGGTCAAAGGTCACAGCAAATATGAAAATTAGTAAAAACTGTGTTACCCACAATCTTTTAAGAATTGTCTTCAATCTTCACAACACGAGTGCCCACGCTGGTCAAACATTTGATCTTCATTGTTAGTGTCGAAGGTCAAAACTGACCTGGAAAAACCTTGAGAACCATATGGAGTCAATGTCGTATGAAAGGGCGTTGAGATAGCTGACCGGCACTTTTTATTGTTTTAATATGACATCATAATTGCACACTGCATGAATATATCTTAAAACCTCAAGTTTGTGCAGTTTATAGAAGCCAAAGATAAAATGCACCATTTTAGTCACAAGGTCACAGGTCAAAGGTTAGGGTCAGGTCAGGGCGGAGCTGTCCTCTGAGTGCTCGTTAATGCTAATAAACATAACAGTTAATAGGAAACTTTGTTCGTGCATAAATGTCTGTTTTATGTTTCAGCAGCTATGATTCAAATTTCAGGAGCAAAAAACATTTGCAGGAAAAACTGACCATCCAATGGCTCGACACGCCCGACCAACTGTTACTATGGGGACGATCCTAAACACCCATGTTTACAGACCGCACCTTTAAGAGCGCCACATGAACACAGATGTGCCTTTTACTTCCTGATTGAGCTTCTGCTTTTATGTGATTGGTCAGATTCAGTGATTTGTGGCACAAACTGCTGTCTGATTATAAAACACTGAATCAGGTTCATTCTCAGTGTTGTCACAGCAGATCTAAAGTATGAAAATATTACCAACATCTTAGGTCGTAATGAATTCAAATCTGTCGTCCTGTCAGATCCAGAGACTCCGCCCCCTCAGCACACACCTTACCTGATCGGCGTGGGCCGAGCCGACTGCACCGGACCGCCGGCTGATGTCCCTATGGTCAGTACCACAAACTCACTCATGCTGCCTTCAGGGACTCGTGCTGCGTTTAACGTGAAGTCACCCATATGTGCACAGAACTGTGCAAAAGTCTTGAGCCACAGCTCAGTTCTTTATGCTTTGCTTCTACAGAGGCAGACCTTGTGGTTATTTTTAAAGTGCTGTTGAGCAACAGTTCTCCGGGCTCCTGCAGGTGGGTCACAGCTGTTCTCTGGAGTTCTTCTTCAGAACTTCAGAGAACAGCTGGGGAAGTAACAGTTAGCCAAGTTACTGTTCATTTTTTTCCACGTTAACAATATACGAGCACAACTTCTCGTTCATGCATCTGAAGAGATGATTTCAGTGTCAGCACACATCCAGCTGGTGGCGCTCATAGTCAGTAGTTGCTGCTGCCTCTGCAAGCTGCTTTGCAGCCCACCTCCACCCGATCTCTGCCATTTAAACTATTTCTGATTCCAGCAGCATCAGAGCTGCTCACTGGAAGCTGCACCCGGGACCTTCACAACTGAATGACATTCCTCAACTTCAACCAACCACAGGCGATGGGAATTGGGCGGATCCAGCCGTAAACATTTCTGAACTTCCTGTCAAGCAGACCCAGAACTTTGACATGTAAATGAGTGCAGATGAAAACAGCAGCAGAGGACCTGCAGAGAACAAACTCCAAAGTCTGCCGCTCTGGTTCGACTGGGTGTGCTTGGACTGATAATCTTTATGGTCTAAGTGCCGAACGCTGAGCGGTCATAAAAATATTAGAGAATAGGAACATATAGAGTCTGTTGGAAGCAGCAGGATTATCGTCTGTAAAACCTTGTCTGTAATCTGGGTTCTGGCATGAAACACGTCCTATAGCCAGCATGACTTACATCGTCGTAGAAGGGAAAGACACACAGCTCACACTCTGTGTGAGAATGTGTGTGTGTTCTGGTACCACAGTCACATTTGTGTGAACGTCTGTGATCCTGCAGACGCGAGCTGCCCACTCACACTTTAACAGGAACATAAACAACTGTGAAATCACTGTGAAACTTCATTAATCTCACCTGCTGAGAAGGTTTTAATGTGTGTGTTTAGATGGGCTATGCAAACCCTCAGCAGACGGCTGCAGGCATACACACCCGTTTGTACAGCAGAGCCTTCATCGTCGATGACGGCAAGCGCAGGGTGGTGTTCGTCACGGCAGACATAGGAATGGTTTCACAGAGGCTCCGACTCGAGGTGACCACACACACACACACACACACACACACACACACACACACACACACACACACACACACACAAACACACACACAAACACACTCTATTCAAAGTTTTACTTTCTGGGCTGAAGCGGGTCTCCTCAGCAGATCATCTGCCTCCACCTCCTCCTATCCCAGCATCCTCCTCTCTCTCACCCACCGTCTGAATGTCCTCCTTCACTACATCCATCTCCTCTGAGGTCTTCCTCTCCTCATCCTGCCTCCATCCTCCACCCTCCCTCCTCTGCACGTGCTCAGACCATGTCAGCCTCTCTGACTCTGAGCGGTCCCTCTGATGGACTTCTTCTTTATGACCTGCATGTTTATCAGAGATTTTACACTGAATCTCTTCCTGATACAATCTTTCCCATTTATCTGGGTCTGGGATCAGCGCTGGGAGCCCCCGCCCCTGCTGGGTGTTACCTCAGCTAACCTCACGCTGTAGTTTCACCGCTGTTCTTATTGTTCTCAAGGATGATGCATCGACATCATCAGAGAGTCTTAAAGGTCTCACAAATGTGTGGAGACATTATCCTCTGATCGCTGCTGTGTGTGCTTGACTTGTACATCTGTCTTTGTGGGGACCAGTGTGTCTCATGTTAGAGGTCTTCACAAAGCACACAAAGCAGTACGTGTGTGTGTGTGTGTGCAGGTTCTGCAGGCACTGCAGGTGAAGTACGGGGATCTATACCGGCAGGACAACGTTGTTCTGAGTGGGACTCACACTCACTGTGGACTCGGTGGATATTTCCAGTACACGCTGTTCATGATCACAGGCGGTTACATGAAGGCTGCCATCGAGCCGTTGGTCAACGGCATTGTTAAGGTGTGTGTGTGTGTTTTTTGATGGACCACAGTAAACTCCCACACATTCCTATGTGTTCCTAATCAGTTCTTATTCTTCTACCCAGCAAAGACACACTGGGTAGTTCAGGGGGGATGGAGAATGCACTTTTACATGATTACTTTTATTAGAAATGTTTATCTGTCAGGGTAAGGTCGTACCGATGAACTGTGTACTCATAATTGAAACCCTGATTCCAGAGTATAGACATAGCCCACAATAACATGAAGCCCGGCAGGATCTACAGGAACAGAGGAGAGCTGGACGACAGCAGCCTGAACAGAAGTCCTCACTCGTACCTGAACAACCCCGAGGAGGAGAGGCGCAGGTAGATAATAATGAATGATTTATCGGTTTGTTTCTATCAGTACATCCCTGCAGCTCTGCTGTCGCTTCTATAGATCAGCTCCACAGCATAAGGAGAGCCGTTCTAGGCTTTACAGCCTGAAGACATGCTCTCCTCTGTAAAGCTCAAAGCTTCGTAAACTCTCACAGAGACAGGCTGCTGGAAACATCTGCAGATCTTCACCTGCACTGCTGCCACGCGATTGGCTGATTTGATCAGGTGTTCGTGTTATTGATCTTTCAGGTATAAGTGGAACACCGACAAACAGGTGCTGGTGCTGAAGTTCACCGATCAGGATGGAGACGGCATCGGTATGATCAGGTACAAACGCACACAGCACTCCTTCAATAATGCTGCCATCGTTTATTACCATCATTATTCTTACTGAGCTTTGCTGCTGACAGCTGGTTTGCTGTCCACGCGGTGAGCATGAACTACACCAACCGTATGGTGAGCAGCGACAACATGGGCTACGCCTCCTACCTGTTGGAGCAGGACAAGAACCCCGGAGGGCTACCTGGACAGGTAACCTGAAGAGGTTGCATCAAAGCCCGACCACAGTCTCAGAGTTTGTGATTTTTAACATAAACTCAGTAAAAACCAGAAACCAGAAGATAAAACAAGCAAATAATTTTTTGCATTTTTGGTCATTTTGGTAACAAAGTGTTTGAAAGACGAGTTTCCAGCTGAACATTTACTCGTTATGGTTTATTTGGGTATATAATTAAAGTGTTTCTTTGTGTGTGTGTGTGTGTGTGTTCAGTTCAGTTCAGCTCATTTTTATTTCAAACATTTCAAACATGTGCCTTCACAATCATTACAAAATATCATTCCATTATTTGTTTGAAAAGGAGTAGGCTGAAGTATTTACTTATTTGTCCCTACCCCCTCAAGTTTGACCTCTCATTCATTTAAATTTTTTTTGTTTTAAATTAAACAAACAACATATGAAACATATGAAGTAAAACAAAACATAACATACATAAATCAAAAACAAGAAATTAGCAAGCCCCACCACAGTATAGTTTCTTTCATATGAAAAATACAGAATGTGTATATTTGCAGATACACAAGTTATGGAAAAACAACAAACCAAAACAAAAAAAAAAAACAAAAAAGAACCGCAACACCATTACCAGCAACATTACCGTCCTGGGTTAACCCCGTTTTCTTCATTCTTATACTTATTTAAAATTAGGTTTTTATATTTTACTTTAAACTGTTTTATGTTTTGACTGTCTTTTATTTCTTCTGTTAGACTGTTCCATAATTTAACTCCTGCAATTGAGATGACATAGTTCTTAAAGTTGTTCTAGCACTTTGTATTTTTAAATTCCATTTCCCTCTTAAGTTATACCCACCTTCTCTTTCTATGAACAATTTACAGATTTCTTTGGGAAGCAATTTATTTCTTACTTTATACATTATCTGCGCTGTTTTAAGCTTCACCAAGTCTTGGAATTTAATAGCTTGCATTTTGACAAAGAGTGCATTTGTATGGTCCCTGTACCCACATTATTTATTAATCTAATGGCCCTTTTCTGTATTATAGTTATTGTTTGTGTGTTACTTTTGTATGTGTTTCCCCAGACCTCTACACAGTAGCTCATATATGGCAGTAGTAAAGCACAGTATAAAATGTGCAGTGCTTTCTGATCCAGCATATGCTTTGCTTTCCCCAGGACGGCAATGCCCCGTGCCAATTTCCCCCAAACATAAGTAATGTGTGGCTTCCAACAGAGCTTGTGGTCAATGATCACCCCAAGAAATTTCATTTCATTGACTCTTTCTAAATATACATTGTCAACACATATTTCTACTTTGATGTTTTTCTTTTGGTTTCCAAACAACATAAATTTGGTTTTATCGAGATTCAATGATAATTTATTTATATCAAACCACTTCTTTAATATCGTTAATTCCTGTGTGATCATCCCCAAAACCTGTGGCAACTCCACACCTGAACACACCTGTGTGTGTGTGTGTGCGTGCGTGTGCGTGTGTGTGTGTGTGTGTGTGTGTGTGTGTTTCAGGGAAGTTTCGTTGCTGGTTTCTCCTCCAGTAACCTCGGTGACGTCACTCCGAACACCAGAGGACCGTACTGTGTGAACACTGGGCTGCCCTGTGACTACCTGAACAGCTCCTGTCCCATAGGAGGGGTAAATACACAACACACAGAGACACACACACAGACTCGTTAAGATAGTTAATAAATCGCAGAAGGAAACCGATAAATGTGTGTCTGCCAGACTACAATGTGTCTGGCGTCCGGACCAGGAGAAGACATGTTTGAGAGCACTCGGATCATCGGACACAACGTCTACCTGAAAGCGAAGGTACGTGTGCCTCGTTTCAGAAAACAACACAGCGTCACGTAATGATAAAAAAATCTGACAAGCTTTGTGCTTGTATTCACTGCCATATCGGGACGTGTGTCGGTTAGGAGCTTTGTGGGGACTCACTGCTTATGGGGACAAAAGTCAGACCCTCACAAAGATTCATTGTTTCTCTGTCTTGACTTTGTCTTTGCTTCATGAATGTTCCTTTAAACTTGAAAGGAATTCCATTAGCATCCCCACGAGTGACAAAGTCACGACTGTGTGCTTGTTGCGCTGCCCCCTGCAGGAGCTGTATGCAAATGCAGTCGAGGAGGTGACTGGCTTTATTCATCATGCTCATCAGTGGGTCAACATGACTGATGTCACTGTTCAGATCAATGAGACACACACGGTCAGCACGCACACACACACACACACACACACACACACACACACACGCACACACACACAGATTAAGAAATTTAGATTAGAAATTTTATTCATAATAATTAAAATTTGATGTCATGTTTCCCAGGAACACATTTTTAATTGTTTCTTCATTCATTCATTTTACAGACATGTTTTCTCTTGTTCTGCGATGTGTGGGACAAACAGCAGCTCCTAACAGATAACTCAGCTTCTTTTAATGTGTTAGTTTCTTTTTAATGTGAACACAGGGTCAAAACGCCTCACAGAGAAAAGCTGTGGCAGCACGTTCCTGCTTCTGTTTCACATAGAAGCTACGCTGTCTGTGTTTCAGGCGAGCACATGTAAACCAGCTCTGGGTCACAGCTTTGCAGCAGGAACAACAGATGGAGGCGGAGGCCTGAACTTCACCCAAGGTGATTCTGTCCCTCAGCTCACATTGGGCTGCAAGCCTGCGGAGACGGGCTGTGGTAACCTGACTGCGTATCTCTGTGCATGTAGGCGCTGTGGAAGGAGACCCCTTCTGGGATGGGATCAGAGACGCTTTGCTTGGCCCACCGTCCAATCAGACGAAGGAATGTCATCATCCCAAACCAATCCTGTTCAGCACAGGGGAGGTGAGGCGAGGCTCACACGTACAAAATACAGTCTGTGATGAACATGGATCCAACATTTATGCTATCGCGTCAGACAATGACCCACAGTCAGTGCATCACTACTAGGGATGGGTACCGGTGTGGTTCTGACATAAACGGTAGTAACCAGACCGAAAAGCAGCGCACATTTCGGTGCTTTATTTCGGTGCTTTTTTTCCTGAGCTGTGATACACTTTAGATT